TTGTCCTGCTTGGGAGAGGAGCCAAGGCTGGCAGGAATAGCTGGAAGAGTGTGCTGCACTTAGATCTCTCAAGTAGTAAATTGGACTACGATGCCTCTGGAAGTCTTCCACAGAGTTATTTTAAACTTGAGGTTGTACTGCTTGTGTTGGATTAACTCAAGGTTCTCTCTCAAGGGGCACATGAAGGTCTTCCTCCACTGCTTCTGCTTTAGTTCAGGCCTTCATCTTGTGCTGGATTATTATCGTAGCCTCCTCTGCTTCCACTGTGCCACTGACATCGAAGTATCACATTGCCGTGGTCCTATACCCTTTGTAGGCATATAAGGCTCTGCGTTTCGTTTAGTGCTCTGCTGTTGTCATCTCGAAATTCTTCATTTTCCAAGAGGCACATTTTCAATTTGCACGAGTCCCTACGATTTCAGTAGCCGGTCTTGGCTCTAGGAACAGCATTTCTAAAATGACTTCAAATTCCTCAGTTCACACTCCTTCTCCTGCCCATCGAGTGCCATCTCTTACTGCTGTGCTTTTCTTCCAGTGTCAGTGCTTGAAGAAGTTCCTCCAGGTATACCACATGGCCCCACACCTCCACAACATTTGCTGTCGGTGTTTCCTTCTTCTCATTTCCCCTCGCCAACCTGGTTCACTTCTATTCATGTTTTGAAATGCTGCAGGAATAAGACTGGGCTGTGAAACGGAATTTGACTGGGTTTGTTGTTGTTGTTGTTTGTTTGAGATGAAGTCTTGCTCTGTCACCCATGCTGGCATGATCCTGGCTCACTGCATCCTCCACCTCTTAGGCTCAAGCTCTCCTGCCTTAGTAGCTGGAATTAGGTGCGCGCCACCACGCCTGGTAAATTTTTATGTTTTTAATAGAGACGGGGTTTTACCATGTTGGCCAGGCTGGTCTCAACCTCCTGACCTCAGGTGAGCCTCCTGCCTTGTCCTCCTGAAGTGCTGAGATTACAGGTGTGAGCCACTGCGCCTGGCCTAATATGACCATCTTAACTAGTTACGATCACACTTTGCTTGTGTCATATCTCTTTTCAAAAATTTCTTACTGGTGAGGTTGGGCCATATTTGATCTTGAGATAATGGTTCTGTAATAACTGTCCAAGAAAATCAGATTGATTTTTGCCAGGTAAAAGAAAATTCTCTTATCTTCAGGGTGTTCATTCATGCAACATACTTTAAAAATTTTTGAAGGTAAATTTGATTGAGACAGAGTTTTATTCTGTCGCCCAGGTTGTAGTTCAGTGGTGCGATCTTGGCTCACTGCAACCTCTGCCTCTTGTGTTCAAACTGTTCTTGTGCCTTAAGCCTCCCAAGTAGGTGGGATTGCGAGTGTGCATCACCATACTCGGCTAATTTTTTGTATTTTTAGGTTTCACTGTTTTGCCTAGGCTGGTCTCAAACTCCTGGCCACAAGTGATCCACCCACCTTGGCCTCCCAAAGCGCTGGGATTACAGGTGTGAGCCATCAGCCTGGCCCATGTAACATATTTTTATGGGGCATCTAATCTATGCCAGACAATATTTTAAGCACTGAGGATGTGGCATTGAACAAACTATTTTAAATTTTCCTTCACTGAGCTAATAATTTTTAGTAGAGAGGGCAGAAAGTGAGTGAACAAATACCTTAATATATAATTAGATCCAGAGTTCTAGAAAACAAGGCAAAGTACACATTTTGGTCTTTGACCTTGGAAGATTTATATTTGTTGTTTATCTACTTTAAAGTTTGGTGGATGAGACTAAGAATGAGGCTCTGGGCCTGGCGTGACTATTGCAGAGTAGGACAGCATGCACATTGTCATCTACTCCATGCTTCTTTTCTGATAGTGATTGTTTAGACGTAGAACATAGATACCACACAGGTACTTCACAAGAAAACTGAAAGCATACACTCTCACAACGTATACAGACTTTTACTGCAGCATTATTCATAGCAGCCAAAAAGTAGAAGACAAGCCAAATATCCGTTAACTTTTATATATATATATATATATATATATATATATATATGACTAAAATGTGGCATAACCATACAAAGAAATGTTATTTCGCTGTAAATAGAAATGAAATATTGATATGTGGTACAACATGAATGAACTTTGAAAACATTATGCTAAGTGAAAGAAAACAGTTACAGAAAACTGCATGATTCTGTTTATAAGAAGTGTCCAGCGTAGGCAAATCTATAGAGACAGAATGATTAGTAATTGGTGGGGGTTAGAGGGAGAAGAGAACGAGGAGTGACTGCTGATGGGGCAGGGCCTCTTTCTGAAGTAATGAAAGTGTTCTGAAATTAGGGAGTGGTGATGGTTGCACAACATTAAGAGTATACAGAAAGCTGCTGAGTGGTACTTTTAAAAATGGCCAATGTTAGAGTGTGTGAATTAGTACAACAAAGCTATCATAAAAAATCCTGGCATTACCTTCTATCTGAAGGTGAGAATCTTAAGAAGATTAAATGAAATGAAATGACATAAAGCACTTAAAGCCCAGTACCTGGGATATAGTATGCACTCAACTAATGGTTATTGTTGCTCTTAAAGTAGTACTGCTTAAATATCTGTAAGCTGGAACTTTTATTCACTGTGACATCTCTAGAATATGACCTGTTATGGGGTATGCAGTCACTAAATATCATACTTGTCGAATGAATGCAGCTCATTCACATTCATGTTCAGTTACATTCACCAATGGGGCTGTCTTTCTTGTTTCACTTCTTGCAGCGTGTTCGTGAATCTGTGTCTGCTGGGCCTGCATTTTGAGCTTCTTGTCTAGTGGTGGTACCCAAGAGATACGAAGCTCTTCACAGCGCATATCTTCAGTGCTTTAGTTGGGGTTGTGGCGTACAGACTGAGTCTTGGGAAGCAAGGGCTCTACCTAAATTAAAGGTGAAAGTGGGGAGGCCCGGTGGCTCACGCCTGTAATCCCAGCACTCTGGGAGGCAAAGGTGGGCGGATCACTTGAGGTCAGTCCGGAATTGGCGACCTGCCTGGCCAACATGATGAAACCCTGTCTCTTCTAAAAATACAAAAATTAGCTGAGCGTGGTGACACACACCTGTAATCCCAGCTACTCGGGAGGCTGAGGCAGGCGAATCACTGGAACCCACGAGGCAGAGGTTGTGGTGAGCCGAGATTGTGCCACTGCACTCCAACCTGGGCGACTGAGTGAGACTCTGTAGCCCAGGCGTCCCCAAACTACGGCCCGTGGGCCGCATGCGGCCTCCTGAGGCCATTTATCCGACCCCCCGCTGCACTTCAGGAAGGGGCACCTCTTTCATTGGTGGTCAGTGAGAGGAGCACAGTATGTGGCGGCCCTCCAGCAGTCTGAGGGACAGTGAACTGACCCCCCATGTGTAAAAAGTTTGGGGATGCCTGCTGTAGCCAAAAGAAAAAAAAAGTAAGTGGTGTCAAATGATTCTTGAGCCTTTTTCTAGTGATATAATTCTGCTTTGTGTTTTTATTTTTACTTATTTTTTTGAGATGGAGTCTCGCTGTCACCTGGGCTGGAGTGCAGTGGTATGATCTTGGCTCATTGCAACTTCTGCCTCCTGGGTTTAAGTGATTCTCCTGCCTCGACCTCCTGAGCAGTTGACATTACAGGAGCCCACCACCATGCCCAGCTAATTTTTTTTTTTTTTTTTTGAGACTGAGTCTTGCTCTGTCACCCAGCGCAGTGGTGCGGTCTTGGCTCACTGCAACCTCCACCTCCTGGGTTCATGCAATTCTCCTGTCTCAGCCTCCTGAGTAGCTGGGATTACAGGCGCCCACCACCACACCTGGCTAATTTTTGTATTTTTAGTAGAGGCAGGGTCTTGCATGTTGGCCATGCTGATCTCAAACTCATAATCCCAGGTGATCCTCAAGCTCCCAAAGTGTTGGGATTACAGGCATGAGCCATCATACCTGGATCTTTGTGTTTTAAAAGAACTGAATTGGTCTGTTTAGAATGTGATTCTTAAGGGTTCATTATCAGTTACCCCAAGAGCAGAGGATTTCACTTGTGGTTAAAAAATAAAAATAAAAACATTTAGTTATTGGAAATGTACAGATTTAAACTGATAGTTTGTTTTACTAAATGCAACTCACAATTTCTACATATAGGAAATTAATATTTTAAATGAAGATAGAAGCAGTTTTCCCCTGAAAGTATTTGTGTGGTTTTGTTAAAACTTCACATCTTTTTATGAACTTGGCATTCCACTAATAACTCTGAGTTGCTTTTACAGCTGTGTCAGCAAGGTGCCATCTTCTTATATTGAAGTTCATGAAAAGACATAAAGCTGTTGTTGTATTCTGTGGCATTCTTTTTAGACCACTGGAACTTGTTTCCTTTGGTCTCTCTAAGGAATGGTTGTGCTTCTCATCTTCCTTTAGTCTTCTGTACATTGTGTGGTTGATCACGTTTCTTGTTACCATAAACTGTTGAGAGGCACAGTGCCCAACTTGTGGCTTACCTCTAGGAAGTATCCAGGGTTTCTCTTTATCAGTCTTTTATGTATCATCCTTCTTAACTTTATTTTCTACTCTTATTTTTTTCTTGCCCAGTTTATGTATTTTTCTTTTTTAGAGACAGGGTCTCCTTCTGTTGCCCAGGCTGGGAGGCAGTAGCCCAGTCAGTAAGCTTGAGCTCACTGCAAGCTCAAACTCCTGGGCTCAAGTGATCCTCCCACCTCATCCTCCCAAAGTACTGGAATTACAGGCATGAGCCACCATACCTGGCCACTCTTGCTTTCTTCCTTTTTTTGGTGCGTGTTGCAGGGGGGAGCTGCTTTTATAATTTTTGGGGAGATAAACGTGTTAAATAAGCAACAGTCCCACTTATTGAGGTGAATATTTTAAAAATGAAAAACATACCTACAACTACCTAAAAATTTCCTCCCATATCAAGAAGGACGGAGAGAAGGCAAAACTGTCCGAAAAGAGTTGGTGAGCTTTTTGTTTGGGAAGTTTTCTTGAATACCTCTTTTTTTCTTGTCTTTTTACTAGAAGTTGGTGAGATGGCAAAGCAGTACATAGAGAAAAGTCTTTTGGTTCCAGACCATGTGATCACACGCCTAATGATGTCCGAATTGGAGAACAGGCGTGGCCAGCACTGGCTCCTCGATGGTGAGTTGAAGCTGTGAGTAAACTGGATTTCTGGGAATTGTCGGTTAAGGTCTTGCACACCCTCTTAACTTCTCACTGATTGGAAAATGCCTTATTTTCTAAACTTTCTGTCATTTATGTAATATTGCAATTTGGCAACATGATAGGAACCCATTGTGGTGAGGCTTCTTATTTCTTCTGTCTCCGGATCACCATCGTGAGAACCACTGATTTGAAGCAAATCTTCACCAAATTTCTGTTATTGCTTCAGCCCTTTTGTTTCCATAAGTCATCCTGAGTATAACTCCTCTTCCATCAGATGTTCTTTCATTCACCACAGGACACACAAAATAAAACTATGAGTTACTGTTTTTCGCTTATCAGATTAACAGAGAAAGAACATCGGAAAATTCTTTATTGAATGTGTAGGAAACAAATACTGTTGAAAGTATAAAATGAGCAACCTTTGGAGAGCAGTTAGCATTATATACGCTTTCTGATCCAGCAGTTCCATTCTGGATTTCTGCCTAAAGATGCAAGGTTTATTTCAGCATTATTGGTAAATAGGAAGACAGTGTTGCTGACGCTATAAAAGAATCTATATATGTGGTACTCTGAGGACACAAAGGGGAAAATTACCTATTCTGTTAGTAGGAGGAGGGGTTGGAAGAACTGTATGGAAAGTGATGTATAGATAAATGGTCCTCACGCAGGTGAATGGGGATAGGGAAGGTAGATTTTTTTTTTTTTTTTTTTTTCCCCAGCAGAGGGATAGTGTAAACAGAGTGAAAGGGGAATGAGTTATCTTAGTATTTTTCTGAGCCTGCAGGCAGAGGTTGCAGAGGAAATCCTGGGGTAGATAGCCTTTGATTTTGCATAAAGATGGTGGAACTGGAATTTGTTGGCTTTTTGAAGCACTGAAGAGTTGTTAAGTAGGGGTGTAATATCACATTTGTCTCTCAGAAAGACTATTCCATTAGCAGCACAGGAGAAATTAGGTGCTGGGGCATGGTGGAGAGTTGTGACTACAAACCAGAGATCATTCTGCTGCTACAACAGAATATTTTGAACTGGGCCATTTATAAAGAAAAGAAATTTATTTCTCACCAGTTCTAGAGGCTGGAAAGTCCAAGAGCATGGTGTCAGCATCTGATGAGGGCCTTCTTGCTGCACCATCCCTGGCAGAAGGCATCACATGGGGAAGAAGTACATGCCTCTGAGAGGGAATGGGAGCTGAACTTAGCCTTTTATCAGGAGCCCATTGTTTTATCTAGAGCCCACTTCTCTCATAAGAGCATTGATTCATTCATGAGGGCAGAGCCCTTATGACCTAATGACCTCTTAAAGGCTCCATGTTCCATAACATGACAATGCCAATTAAATTTCAACGTAAGTTGTGGAGGGGACATTCAAACCTTAGCATTCTGCCCCTACCCACCTCCCCACAAAAAAACAACTCATGTCCTTCTCATACACAGAATACATTCATTCTATCCCAATAGCCCCCAGGGTCTTAACTTGGTCTAGCCATAACTCAGAAGTCCAATCTGAATCAGACATGGGTGAGATTTATAAGGTACAATTCATTCTGGGACAAATTCCCTTCAGTTGTGAGCCTGTGAAATTCAATGCAAGTCATCTACTTCCGAAATGCTATGGTAGGAAGGTGTTTGATGGACGTTACTGTTCCAAAAGAAGAAATAGGCAAGAAGAAAGGAGTAAGTGGTCCCTGATAAGTCTAAAATGCAACAGGGGAGACATTAAGTCATAAAGATGGAGAATATCTCCATCGACCCCACATTCTGCCTCCTGAGCACACTGGGATGGGAGTTGGGCTCCCAGGGCCTCAGAAGCCCCACCCCCTGTGACTTTGCTGGCTCAGTCCACTCAGCAGCTCTCATGGGTTGGAGTTGTATACGGGTGGATTTACAGTTCTGGGGTGTTGACAGTGGCCCACTCTCATGGCTCCACTAAGCATTGCCCTCGTGGGGACTCTCTGGCAGCCTTGACCCCACAGTTCTACTGGGCATTGTCCTAGTGGGGGCTGTCTGCAGTGGCTCTATGCTGCAATAGGTCTCTGTCTGGGCATCCAAGCAGTCCCTGGCATTCTTTGATATCTAAGTGGAAGAAGCCATGGCCTGCAGGACTTGCATTCTGGAGCCATGCCTACAGCTGTTTGAGTCATGGCTGGGGAGGCCAAGGAATGCTATCCATCTCCTGAAACCAGTCTACCATCCTAGAGCTCTGGGTCTGTGATGGGAGGTACAGTCTAGTGATCTCTGAAATGCCTTTGAGGTCTTTCTTCCATAGTCTTGATTGATAGCATCTGACTTCCTTCTACCCATGCTTGAGCAATAGGTTGTTTGACCACACACTTAATAGTCCTTCTTGAACATACTTTTCCACTCTTTACATGGCCATGCAAGAATTTTCCAAATTCTTCTGTTTTGCTTCTCTTTTAACTATATAGTTATCCCTCAGTATCTGCTGAGGGTAAGCGGTGTGGGAAGGGATTGGTTCCAGGACCACTCTCTCATACCACAATCCATGCATACTCCAGCCCTGTGAAACCTATGGATATGAAAAGTCAGTCCTCCATGTGCAAGGTTTTGCATCCTGCAAATACTGTGTTGCATTTGGTTGTGAATATGGAACCCAGTGATATGGAGGGCCAACTGTATTTATTTAAAAAATTCTTGGCTGGGTGTAGTGGCTCATACCTGTAATCCCAGCACTTTGAGAGGCAGAGGTGGGCAGATCACTTGAGCCCAAGAGACCAGCCTGGGCAACGTTGCAAAATCTCATCTCTACAAAAATTAGCCAGGTGTGGTGGCATGTGCCTGTGGTCCCAGCTAGTTGGGACTGAGGTGGGAGGATCACTTTAGCCTGAGAGGTTGAGGCAGCAGTGAGGCATGAACACACCACTGCACTCCAGCCTGGATGACAGATGACAGAGTGAGACCCTGTTTCAAAAGAAAAGAACAAATTTTGGTATAAAGTATGTCCTCAGAGTTCAAACCCATGTGTCCAGTGGTCAACTGCATTTGATCATCTCTCTGCTCTCACATCTCATTTTATGCAATTGAAAGTAACCACACAGCAGCTTGAGTGCTTTACTGCTTAGAGATTTCTTCCACTGCATATCCTAGTTCATTGCTCTTAAGTTTTGCACTCCATAAAGCTCTAGGACATGGACATAATTTGCCAAGGTCTTTGCAGCTGTCTAACAAGAATAACCTTTACTCCATTTTCTAATACCTTCTTTTACATTTCTGTCTGAGACCTCATCAGAATGGCCTGTAGTATCCAATTGCTGCTGACATTCTGGTCATGACCACTTGAGTAGTTTCTTTTTTGAGACAAAGTCTCACTGTCGCCCAGGCTGAAATGGTGTGGCATGATCTCGGCTCACTGCAACCTCCACCTTCCAGTTTCAAGTGATTCTCCTGCCTCAGCCTCCCAAGTAGCTGGGATTGTAGGCATATGGCACTATGCCCAGCTAATTTTTATATTTTTAGTAGAGACAGTGTTTCACCATCCTGGCCAGACTGGTCTTGAACTCTGATCTCAGGTGGTCCGCCCGCCCCGGCCTCCCAAAGTGCTGGGATTGCAGACGTGAGCCACCATGTCTGGCCCCCTTGAGTAATTTTAAGAAGATTCAGACCTTCCCTACAGTTCCCCTCTTCTTTTGAGTTCTCACCGTAATTGCCCTTGATGCATCATTCATGGCAATTTAGGGTGTTTCTAGCTGCCTACTCCAAATTCTTCCAGCCTCTACCCATTACCTGGTTCCAAAGCTATGGCCACATTTTTAGGTGTTTGTTATGGAAACAGCCCCATTCCTTGGTATCCATTTTTTGTCTTAGTCTGTTTTGAGTTGCTATAACAATACTTCGGGTTGGGTCATTTACAAAGAAAAGAAGTTTATTCCTCCCAGTTCTGGAGGCAGGGAAGAGTAAGACCGTGGTACTCCTATCTGTTGAGAGTCTTTTTGCTGTGTGTTGTAACCTGGTGGAAGGCAGTACATGATGAGAAGGCTCACACAAGAGAGGGAATAAGGGGTTAAACTTAGGTTTTTTCAGGAGCCCACTTCTGAGATAAACAACCCCATTAATCCATTCATGAGGGCAGAGCCCTCATGACCTGATAATTTCTTAAAGGCCCCACCTCCCAATGACCTTAAATTGGCAATTAAATTTCAACATGAGTTTTGGAGGAAACATTCAAACCATAGCACCCCCCAATGCTTTTTGTGTGGGTATTTATCACGACTCATAAACTTTGACTTTGCCACCACTTAACAGTATCTCTAGTTTAAAATTTTAAATTGTAAGTCCTCTCACCTTGCAAAATGAATGAGTGTAGGTTTAGTGAACTTAAAAGTCCTGTGTTTAAAAAGGATCATCTGTGTTAAACTCCTCTACAAAGAGGGTTAGTGTAATAATTGAGAGAATGGACCCTGCTGCTGCCAGACTGCGTGACTTGAATCCCTGCTCTGCCACTTTCTGGCAGACAGTGTGACCTTGGGCCTCTGATTGCTCATGAAACACAGATTAGCAAAGAGGGACGAAGTGAGCAAATACATATAAAGTGCTTAGAAGAGTGCTTGCTTTATGTAACTGCTATATGAGTGTTTGTCATTATTTGTTGTGACTAATGTACAGGTCCTGAATTTTTGGGATGGGGGGGTGACTATTTAAAGTGTTCACCTCAAAAATAACTCTAGGCCGGGCGCGGTGGCTCAAGCCTGTAATCCCAGCACTTTGGGAGGCCGAGGCGGGTAGATCACGAGGTCGAGAGATCGAGACCATCCTGGTCAACATGGTGAAACCCTGTCTCTACTAAAAATACAAAAAAATTAGCTGGGCATGGTGGTGCGTGCCTGTAATTCCAGCTACTCAGGAGGCTGAGGCAGGAGAATTGCCTGAACCCAGGAGGCGGAGGTTGCGGTGAGCTGAGATCGCGCCATTGCACGCCAGCCTGGGTAACAAGAGTGAAACCCCGTCTCAAAAAAAAAAAAA